GGCAGCACCCTGGGCTGAGAGATCACGATCGTGTGACATTTACAAATGAAGCTAACAAGATTTCATAATTCTACCTCCAGCTCTTTTTTTCTAATATGGTCTTTCTGTTGCCATGTAAGGCTATGAAGCACTGCCGGGCTGCATGTAGCAGAGCAACATGGATTATGTTTACATAGGAAGGCTGCTTTCTTTTCCCTTATCGAACTTGGTATACTGGCTAACTGTAATTTCTCTCTCAATTCTGCCCTTTCTGCCTTTTTTTGCAAATATGCCAGAGAGTATTTAATAACTGTTCATATTTTGCTTATCCCCGCAGGCCAGAGTGAGGAACAGAAAGCCAGTGTTTAGTGAAATACATCTTCCACCCTGACAGCAGGGAATGTGCTGTGCACACACAAGTTGACAAAACACTGTTCAGCACTGCTTAGCACTTGGGGAAATATTTTCATTTGTGATATTAAAAAGCCTGTGTCTACTCATGGCACGCAGCGTGCCCTAGGGATCAAACTAGTCAGGGCTCCTGAACTCTCTGGGTAAGCTCCATAGCCATAACCATTTTTTTCCTTGGTTTACCCACCTGTTACCTGATCAGGTTTACCCCTCATCAACACAGACTGCATCATAGACTAAATTATAACATCCAAGGTATATTCACTGACTCCTCTACCGATGTCACATACACCATTGCCTGCTCACAAAACCCTCTTGCTGTCCACATTGGACAGATAGGGCAATCCCTACATGGCACAATGAATGGACACTAGAAATACACAAAAACCTGTGGCAAAACACTTCAGCTTTCCTGGGCATTGCATCGCTGGCCTCAGAGTGGCTGTTCTTCAACAACAGAGCTTTAAGAATTGACTTGAAATCAAAATTGTGGAACAAGAAATCAACCACAGACTGGATTGAGTTAAGCATAGTCTAAACATGGACTACAGATTCTTATCTTATTATCTGGATTAGCTTTTATGTCCCTATGGGTTTATTGCTTTATTGCTCCCTCCAGTCCCCTCTGTCCTTTCACAGCATCTGATGAAGTGAGCTCGGCTCACAAAAGCTTATGCATTTCTGATTTAGTTTGTAAGGTGCACTTCTAGCCTGCCTTCTACCTTTTAAATGAGCTGAGCAATATGTCTGTATCTGAAGGAAGGTGCTCTACAAATGTGCAGCATTTCTCTTTGGTTTTGCTTTTCTGCATTTCTTCAGCAGATCCGGTAGCAAAATAAAATACGTAATGATAACAGAAAATTGCGTCTCACTTTAAAATGTAACAAACTTCCTCCTAAAGAAGATGTATGGACTTTACACATTTTCCCCATTGCATAGAGCAACTATCTCAGGGGTAAAACTTGGCAGCTGTTTGACAGGCCAGAACATAATTTACTGGCCAGCGCACGTGTATGCTGTGCTGCTCTGGGTGTAGTGTGCGTATGATCCAGTTACGGTTTGTTGCCCACCTACAAAGAGGAGAAATGCTTTATGGCTAACAACAATGAACAGGGATTCTCCATTGGTTAAGACATAGTGATGTATTTGGTGAGGACATTTTCTTGGACCTGAAGGCTGCTCATTCTATTCCAAATTCCTGTCTTGCACAGCTAAACCTTTGTAACCACCACAGCATCAACATGCT